TAAAAAAAGGTATAGATCACTTCCATTACCCTCAGTTTTCTAATGCCTCTTTCAGTAAACCTCACAATCAACCCTAGGTAACATGAATCTTTTCAGTTGGGCCTGCCTTTTCTAGAAATTACTATTAGGAGGTAACATTAATTGAGGCTATTATGTGCCAGGCACTTTACCCTCAGAATTCTAATAGGTTAATAGAGACTCAACATGCTCAAGGGCACACAGCAAATGTATGGCACAATTAGTCTACTTTCTAGAATCAGTGTCCTACCTGGTTAATAAGACTGAAATCACAAATATCTCTCCATGTTCAAGAAGTTATTCCTTAAGAATCTAACAGAAGTTTCTTAAATGTAGTATTGTAACAGCTCATTAACAGTTGGACTTGGATAAACAATGAGTTTAATTATACAATCAGACACAAAATCATTTATGTAAAGTCTGATTTAGACTATTAGTTACTATCCTCAAGACTTACCCTGAGGTTAGAAAAGGGCTCTGTTGTACATTACTGTACATTATTGATTGTAACCTGCTAAAGTCAATAATTTGTTAAAATATTTACATTACCAAAACTTGGCAGAGAGCCATTTTTTTCCTTTTTGATGATTCCTGTTTGATGATTTGTATGTGAAAATATATCTCAAGTAATGTTTTTCTCCTTTCAACAAAATTTAGCACAGGTAAGACATTTACCTAAGTAAATCACCAACGGTTAACTATGTGTCACAAACACAGCATGCTAACAGTTGGTCTTGTATCTCTCAAAGATCTTAATGTGAAAAGTAGAATGATATTTACAAGTTATTTTGTTTGGGTTTTGTTTTGTTTTTTGAGATAGGTTCTTACTATGTAGTCCAGGCTGGTCTTGAACTCATTATGGAGCTCAGGCTAGCCTCACCTGAGGGGATCCTCTTGCCTCAACCTTCCAAGTGCTGGGATTACAGGCATCCGCCACCACATCTGGCCTAGAACTTATTTTAAATAAAATATACATTCATCCATAAATTGAAAAATTATCCCCCTTTTGTGCAAATTGAAAATGGATATTGATAGTTTTCTTAAATAGAAAATAGCCAAATTGAGCTGGGTATGGTAGGGGAAGCCTGTAATCCCAGCACTTGAGAGGCTGAGGCAGGAGGACTGCTGTGAGCTCAAGGCCAGCCTGGGCTACATAGTGACTTCAAGACCAGTCTAGAGTACATAGAGATTCTGTCTCAAAAAACCAAAATAAATAAATATTAAAAAGTCAAATTATCAATATAACTTCATGGGCCCAGAATGGCTGTTTTCCTACCAATAAATATGTGACAGTCAATAAAGAACAGGATTAGCGGAAACAGATTATTTTCCCAAGTTTACGGGTGCTTCAACATGTGGCTTTGAGTATTAAGATGATGATATTCTAAGAAAAAAATTTTCTAGAGCTAGAGATGTAGCTCAATGGTAGAGCACTTGGCCAGCACCTCAAAAACAAAGGACTATATACTTTTCAAATAGTGCTGAAAGTATTAAATTAGGTTAAATAGCCTCATAAATTTATAAAATTAGAGCCAAAACTGGGCACAGTGGTTCACACCTGTAATTTCAGCCACCCTGGAGGCAGGATTTCAAGTTTGAGCCCATCCTGCCTCAAAAAAAGAAACGGAGATTGGGCTTGGGGATATAGCTCAGTGGTAGAGTCCTTAGGTTCAATGCCCAGCACCCCCCCCCCCAACCCCTCCTGCTTCGGCCTCTCAGAGTGCTCAGATTACAGACATGTGCCAACATATCCAGTTTCAAGGTAATTTTAAAAAATGGAAGTGAACAAGCAAAGAGAAGCTAGTAATTTGCTTAAAGTTTCAAAAGAAGCTTTTTAATTAGGAGACAGTGAATTAGATTCTGCGTACGAGTGCATGGAGTTCTCTCTACTTGCCAATGAGGGCATGTGGGAGTCCATAATAGCTTCAACAAAGATACAAAATTATTTTAATGATTTTTCATTAGATGGACAGAGAAAGACAAGAGTTTAGGAATGCTAGTGGAAATCATAAAGAATTTTTAAAAAGGTATAATCCAATGCAGCTCTTAAAGATTCATATTTGGCTGTTTCACTAGCATAACATCCATTACAGGAAATCTATGGCATGTGAAGATGTGTACTTTTATTCATCTGAAGCAACTGCCAAGGTTTATAACCAAGTAATTTGTTAACTTTAATCAAGGCAGGAATTATTGCTTTACCATTGCATAAACTTAGTCAACCAGCAGACTTCTGTTATTGTCATTAATTTTTAGAATAATCCTGTGTGACATTTCTGTTCCTATTTAATAGAGCAAAAGAAGAAAATTATATTCTATAGTGGCATTAGCTAAGACATTAGGATATATTCCATAGCAAGAGTCTAGTTTACTATACATTTCTAGTATAATAAGATACTACTCCAGTCAAAATTTAAGATACTTCTCCAACTATCTCAGTACTTGTGTTATTCTTCTAGTAAATTACAACCTGTATTCACATGTGATCACACTCTCCTTTGATCATACTTTCTACCTTCCTAGCTAAAGGGATGAGTTACCTGCTAGTTCAGAAAAAGATAAAATACAGGCACACATACAAGTTCTTATTGGGCAAAAGTAAGTCTCTTCTCAAGTGTTCTAGGTTACTGTGTGAAGTGCTGCACATATTAACTCTTCTCGATTTCTGGCGAATGAAACATCATTTTACTGTCATTTTATCCAGATCAGAATAATATAGGCGCTGGGCCTGGTGGTGCCCACCTGTGATCTCAGCACTCCAGAAGCTGAGGCAGGAGGATCACCGTGAGTTTGAGGTTAGCCTGGGCCACATAGTAAGTGCAGGACCAGCCTGAACTACAAAGGGAGACCCTGACTCAAAAAAAAAAAAGAGAAAGAAAAGAATAATATAGGCAGTTTGGACTAAGAAGATATGAAGGAATGAAAAGAAAGTCCCTCAACCTTTTCTATTTCAGTCTCATCACTAATGAAATATCCTAGTGAATAAGTGGCACAAAGGAGCTTGTCAAGAGTTGCTATGTGGTCCAACCAGTATAACAAAAGTGCATCAGAAAGTTCCTATTTTAAATTAATGCAAGACATTGTAAATTTAATTGAAGAAACATGTATTTGAGTACTTATAAATTATGTATCAATTTTTATAATCATTTGGTTTTTTGAGAAAAGGTGTTGTTACATAATCTAGGCTGCTCTTGAACTTGGTATCCTCCTGCCTCAGCCTCCGGAGTGCGGGATTACAGGCTTGAGCCACAACTGCAACCAACTTTTTATAAATTATGTGCCACAGTTTTAATGGTTGTTTAAAAGGAATAGATACATTAGCTGGAAGGTACAAGGAAAAGTGGTTTGGTGTCACAAGTACAAATCCTGGAAAGGAGATGCATGATCAGATTTTGAGAGATGGACAAGCCAAACTTAGAAGAATTTCCCCTTTAAGCTGCCTCTTCCATACCTGCAGCAAACATATAATTAACTTGCTTCTCAAATTACAGGTATAATTCAGGGGAAGGAACAAAAACACTAAGGAAATTATAATCACTTAAGCCTTATAAAGTACATCTCTACTTTGAATAGTTACAAAAACTTAGAAATGCCATGACAGATGGCAGAGATATCACTGGCTCTGGAAATGACAGGACAACAGATCAAATTTCAAGAAGCACAGTTTTCTTTAGCTTAGTCACAGCTGAATTCTCACTTTTTATATTTAAAGTTAAGGCAATTTAGGCAATCTCTGATATTCTATTTAGTAATTATGTTATTTTGCCTGGACATGCAATTTCAGTATACTACTCTCAAATCATAGCACCTTCCTGAAACAGAAAAAAAAATGAAATTAGCTTTCAGAGAAGGGTGATCAAATCAAATGGTCCCCTTTCTCCATTATGGCTATATTCTTTCAATGTTCACCTCCCTCGTGCAGTCTTTCCATCAGCAAAGTATTTGCCTCCTTACTTTGTACCAGGAACTATCCCAGGACTGGGGGAAAACAGGTATACGGGACCCACACAGTCCTATCCCTGCCCTCAGGAGGGACACAGACAACTTACAGGTAAACGAATCTAATAACACATTGGGATCAGGGCTGTAAGAGAGAAATAAGTGCTCTACGACAGAAAAGTTAGGAGCTACACTGACTAGGGTGGCCAGGGAAGGCCATTCTGAGGCAGATTTAGGTGGAGAATTGAGGAAAGAGGAACCGATTACCCTCACAGGCTATGCGAGTGTTAAGGGGAGAGAGGTAAAGACATTCCCGACCTAGAGGTTAGAAAGCGCACGTTACCAGGGTCTGAAGGGTAGCCAGCTTGGCTGGAACTTAAGAAGCAAATGACATAAAACGAGTCTGTGAACATGGATAAGGATCGCATCACACAGGACCTTGAAGGCCACAGAAAGGAATCTAAACTTAGGTAAAATAAGAAGCTATAGGAGTACTTTAGACGAATGAATTACAAAATCTCTTTTCTTTGTTAAAATAGCACGCTGGTAAAACAAGTTGTGCAACAAAGGTTTTAAAGACGAGAACGAGATGCAATAATCACGCACTACTCCGGGCCTCGGGCTTTCTATAGGCAAAGCAAGTGGCTTGAGCCAGAAGCCATTTCCTTCCTGCTGCGACGTGCCTAGGGGGTGAGTTCCGAGAGCAACGGCAGCGTTAAATTGACCATGGAATTCCCCTCATCCCTGCCGGCGCCCAGCACATAACTGGCGCCCTGAAACTGTCGGTCAGCGCAATGGATCAATGAATGGCCGGCGCGGGACCAGGCCCGTTGTCAGAAAAGAACGCGAGGGGCCGCGCGGGAGGCCGCGAGAAGCGTCCGGCGAGGAAAGTGGGGGCTGGCTGCACCACCAACAAGGCGCGGCGTAGAAGTTGCCGGGGCCTCGCGGGCTGAGGCAGAAGGAGCCGGACTCCAAGGCCCGGCACAGGGAGCTACGAGGCCGGAAGGCGGGGCTGGGGAAGGGATCCGGGACCAGCCACTCACCGCTGCTGTCGCCAGGCTGTGCATGTTGGGAGCTGCCGCCGCTCTCTTTCCCCCGCCTGAGGCGCCCGACTCGCGTCCCAGCTTCAGCGCCTCTGCCGCGGAAGACGATGAGCCGCCATCCACCTCCGGTTCGCTCCGCCCCCTTCGCAGCCCTCTGACCCCTCACCCCTGACCCCGCCCACACAACTTCTTCCCGCCTCCTGGCCTTGGGCCTAAAGTCGCAGAATGTTCTTTGCCCCTTAAGATTCAGAAACGAAATGTTGACCACAACCTGTTAGTCCCGCATCTCCCTCACATCGAGCCGGTGATCCTAGAAGAGCACGAACTCGGACCCTTCCCCAAAAGCCCAGGAAGGGCGGGAAAAGCCCAGCAGGCTCCGTAGGACAAGAATTGCGCATGCCCAACTGAGCTAGGTAGGAGGGAGGTGGTGGGAGGTCGAAATTGGGTGAAGTGGGTAGTGCGCGTGCGTACTACAGTCACGGCGGGGGCGGGGCTTACTGGGTTAGGTGTCTCAGTGCCGGGGCGGGTGAGGGTGTAGTGGGCGGAGTTTGCAGATTTACGCGCATGCGCCGGGTCCGGTCGCGTAGAGTGTGCGTGCGTGCGTGCGTGTTTGCGTGTGGTCATAGTTCCCGCCATCAGCCGCTTTCCCTATTTGGGGGGGAGCGAGCAGGTTTGCTCTTTGGTCGGTGTTCCTTCCTTTTTTTTTACCTCCGACTCCTCCTCCTCCGCGCGAAATCTGTTGCTTCCGGCAGGCTTGTCAGGGTGCTCTGGACCCTCAGGCACAGGTAAGGCGGCCGGGGTGGCTTCTCAATTGAGCCGTTTCCCCTGGCACCCCTCCCCCTGCGGTCCGCCCACTCGGCGTTCACTCTTCTGGAGTTCTCCCCTCCGCTGCTCAGCTCGCCCCCAGCCCCTCGGCCCTCCCCAGGCCTCACAGATACTCAGCTTGTGTGTCCTCCCTCGACTTTCTCTCTCTTTTGACCTGGTCTGTACTGTCACTAGCTCCGTCCGCCACTCGAATCTGTCCCGTTTTCTCTGGGACTGTTGTCGTTCACCGTTGCCCCCCCCCCCAATCGCCAAGGCCTGCTGGCTCTTCAGATGAATTCTGTAGCCGCACATCCATTAGGCCTTGGACATGATATTTATTCGTTGTCTTGACCATCTTTAGCTTCTTTCTCTCCTTTTTCATCTCATTAAAAAACATGAATTGTATTTTTCTCGTGCACTTGATTGCTTCCCATATCTAGCCATCATATCAGGTTGTCAAGTTAACCTCTTTTAAGTCATGATCTATGAAAGGAAATAATTGGTGACAAAGTCCTGTGTTTTGGAGAGTTGCGCTGTAGTGGTTTTGTAGTGTTCCTCAAAATTTCAGCTGTGTGCTTCTCTTTTGAGGGGTGGCAGTGCCTGAAAGTCTCTGACAAGAGGAGATACGTAAGAAGACTGTTAAGTAGGCAGTTGTGTGTTCTGGGTTTGAGATCACAGGCGAATTCTAGGCTGGATATGTACTGTATGTATATAATATGGGTATATGTTATCGACACGTTGATAGTAATTGGAACCATGAATATGGATGAAATTACCCAGAGTATAGTCCTAGAAAAAAAGGAGACCTAGGATGCAACATTGAGAGATTCTTGAGGCTTAATAACTGGACAGGGAAGGACTCTTTCAAGAGATAAAGTCAAGTGTAGTGTTGCATTCTGCTGAGAGATAAAATTGAAAGAGGCTACAAAGCTCAGTGGCATAAAACTAATCAGTTGTCTAGTGAAAGATGTTTGATAAAGTAAAATGAATATTTGGGTTCAGTTGTGGATTCTCTTTCATTCTTTCCTAAGCTTAAAATTTCAAGTATGCATTGATGACAAGAATTTTTATTTCCAGCCTATTCTCTTTGTTTTTAACTCCATATCCAAATCATCAATTGTTTGCCTGACAGCCCAACTTGATTTTTTTTCTTAGCAATTTCAAATTTGTGGAAAACTAAAGTTTTAATTTTTATTTTTGTACCCAAATTATTTATTTATTTTTGTCATCCTCTGGGTTGAGCTCAAGGCCTGGCACATGCTAGACATCCCCTCTACCACTGAGCTACATCTCTAGTCCCATACTCAAATTCTTTATCTTCCTGTGTCCTGTTTCATTAAGTAGCATATCCATTTATTCAGTTACACAGAATAGAAACTTGAGAGAGGCATTATTGACCTCTTCATCTCATGTATGTATACCTTCTCCAAGTTATACCATGCCTATAATAGTTCCAATACGTGTCTGAATCTGCTCTTGTACATCATCACTATCAATTTTCTAGTACAAGCCACAGTCCTTTTTTACCTGGACTCAAATCTGTAGCCCTCAGTATTATCATCTGTAAAATGAGAATAATAAAAATTTTCACCTGATTAAATGAAATAACCGTTATAAGTACATAGCACACATACATTCCAACTAGGTATTATTACTGTAATTGTTATGGTAAGGTGAATACCTCCAGTAAATTTTCCATTTATTTACCTTATCCCCCCCTCTTTTTTTTTGACAGGGTCTTGCTATGTAGTTTAGGCTGGCCTTGAACTCATTATGTATCCAGGCTCGTATTGAATTTATGGTGATCCTCCTGCCTCAGCCTACCAAGTGCTGGGATTACAGGCATGCGCCACCATGCCTGGTTTATTTGCCTTATTCTGCTTACTTTATTTTGAGTTCCTTCCACTCTTCCTACCCAAAGCCAAACTATTATCGCTTTGCCATTCAATACTAACATGTCATTTCTTTGCCTAAAACTCAGTGTTTTTCTCATTGCTAAATGTTTATTATATTTAGAATAAAATTAAAAATCCTTACTGTGGTCCACAAGAGTCTACATAATCTGGCTCTTTCATGCTTCACTAACTTCATCTTGAACCATCTTCCTTTCTCAAACCTTCAGCCACATAGCTTTTTTTTCTTGGTCCCAGGGATTGAACTCAGAACCTTGCAGTTGCCAGGTGGGTGTGGTGCCACTGAGCTTAATCCCTGCTCCCTGACAATATCCTTAGTCACACCAAGTATTTTCCATTTCAGAGCCTTTGTATATACTGTTCTGTTTACCTGAGCTGTTGTAGCACAGCTGTTCTCCAATCAGCTCATTTTTTTTATTGTTGTTGTTGTACTGAGAATCGAACCCAGAGCCTTCATTCACACTGAGCTAAATCCTCAACCCTTTTTATTTTTTTCGTACAGGATCTCATTAAGTTACCCAGGCTGGGCCCAAACTTGTGATCCTCCTGCCTCAGCCTCCCAGAGTGCTGAGATTATAGGCGTGTGCCACCATACCTGGCTTCAACTCATTCTTCAATTTTCAATTTAAGTGGTACTTTCTCAGAAAAGCCTTCTCTTGATTTTCTCTTACCTTCAATCCCGGAGTCTTAATCATAAGTCTCATCATGCCCTGTATTTTACTTTTTATCATTTTTTAGAACTTGTAATTCTATATTCCCCATATGATTTATTTGAAGTCTGTCTCCTACTAGGATATAGGATAGTGATTATTTCATTTTTATTCCTCAAGAATTTGTTAAATGATTAAGTAAATTGGAACTTGCTATCAGAACCATCATGTCTTTGGAAGCACCAGCTTACTGATATTCGTGTCATATCATGACAAACTTCGTTCTGCAGACAACACATCAAAGGAAAACAGTTTTCCAGCTTTGGATGCTTTTACCCATTTAAACTCTTTAATTGGTGATAAACTTTAGATTAGTATCCCTATTTACTTTTATATGTCTTATATATTTGTTTTAATGGATTTTTTGTTTGTTTGTTTGTTTGTTTGTTTTTGGTACCGGGGATGAACTCGGGTGGAGGAAACCACTGAACTAAATCCCCAGCCCATTGTTTCAGTGGATTTTTTAATTGAGAAAACATGCTTGAAAATTAGTAATGGTTTGTATCTTTAACAAGAGTTTAAGTTATGAGACTAATAAGAGATTTCTATACATAAAGCAGAGTCCCATTTTAAGTCAGCTTTTGGTGAATGATGAGAATATTAAAAGTTAATATTTTTTTGTGTGTAGAATTTATTTTGAAAAATAGGGAATAAAGGCTAGAAAGTGACCCAGGTATTGTGACACACATCTGTTATACTTTGGGAAGCTAAGGCAGGAATATCACAAGTCCAAGTTCAGCCTGGGCAACCTAGCAACTTAGTGAGATCTTGTTTCAAAATAAAAAGTTAAAGGGGCTATGGATTCAGTGCAAAGACCCTGGGTTCAATCTTTAGCACTGCCCCCCCCCCCCCCGAGAATGTCTAACAGGCAGTTGGATTTATTTTCTGGGTTGAGGCAAGTTAGCATTAGAAATGTTTGGGAGGAAATTAGTAGTATCAGTTAAATATTATTTTGTTGGAGTATACAACTTGTGAGTGTGTGGCATGCCCCCCACCCCGCCTTTAGAAAGAAAGGAGACAGCAATCGCATACTCTAGTTTCTAAGAAATAAAGTTTTCCACAAAGGATATTGTAGTGTAAACAATCAGTTGTTGGAAAAATCACAAGAAAATGAGGACTGGATGAACTGTGGCAGTGGTTAAAAATGTGGTTTCTGGTCTTAGACGTAGCTTTATTTCTTACTGATTCATGAACTACTTAATCTGTCTAAGCCATTTTCCTCATCTGTAAAATTGACATAGTAACAATCTCTCATAGGGTTATTGTGGAAGTTAAGTGAAATAATGTATGTGTGGCCCTTGGGACTGTGCTTAGTAAATAGTGCATAATACATATTGGATGAGGTAATGGCAAGAAGATGAGTTTCTGAATTAGAGTAGTAACTGAAAAAATTTGGTTTTGGATAGATGAGAATGAGATAAAAACTGATGCTAAGATTTCTTGCTTAAATGGTGATAGGACAAAAATAGAGAAGTCAAGGGACCTCTTAATGAGGTCTTCAGTTGTATCTTCACATTTGTATCCCTACCACAATGCCTTCCAACTACAGTAACTCAATAGATGGGTTTTTTACTACATGAACAGATGAATTTTAAGTTTATGTACCATTCAAGTAGGCAATGAGAAATGTCTGGATAGAATTTCAGGAAAAATTCAGGCTTGAGGAGGCTTGATATTGAAAAACTTCTTTTTTTTTTTTTTTTCTTTTTTTGTACCAGGGATTGAACTCAGGACCTTGCGTTTTCGAGGCAGGCACAGTGCCACTGAGCTAAATCCCCTGCCCCAAAACATTTTTTTTAAGGCTTTAAAAGATGAGTGAAAACATGATGAATTACCTTTGGAAATTTGTGTCAACACATGGATGGTGTTTTAAGACTTAGATGTCAGTTTGTAACAATGTTTATAAAGTTAACAAAGGGTATACTTTTTCACTGACTTCTTAGTTTCCAAATGTAGCAGGATAAGTAAATTGACACAAGTTTGATCAAGGTACAGGCTCCTCCCCTAGTCCATTTTGTACAGAATGTGCATTCCTAAAGTTGGGTTGATCATGTTTGTGTGTTTGTGTGTGTGTTGTATGTCATCTTAAGTATTTTTAGTAATTGATTTGTGCTTTTAAATATATGAGGGGTTAATCTTTGTTGTGTAAATGATTGCTTTCTTCAAAAAAGTTTTAAATTTTGTATATTGAATTTTTTTAAAAAGGCACACTTATATTTTCTTTAGCTGAGTTGATGGCTCCTGGAGAACTGGCATAGCTGCAGAATATGAGTAGTTTCCCAAGAAGAGTGCGTTGCCTTTGGCACAAGGATCAGAATAAAGGTGAATTATTATTACATAGGGTTTTTCAGTAAAAGTCACTGAAAAGTAAGTCATGTTTTTGGATGTATGTTTCCAAGAGTATGCTATTTGTCAAGAGTTGGCAGTTTCTGTGTTTGTTTTGTAGTAATAGTTTTGTTTTTTGGGGTTTTTTTTGGGTACCGGGCATCGAACTCTGGTCCTTGCGCTTGCGAGGCAGGCGACGGAACTACTGGGCTAAATCCCGGGCCCTTGTAGTAATAGTTTTATATTTTGGCATAGTCTATCACAGAATGGTCTCTGGATAAGGATTTTTTTTTTTTGGTACTGGGGATTGAACTTGGGACCTTGAGCTTTTGAGGCAGGCAACAGAACCACTGAGCTAAATCCCTGGCCCTGGATAAGGATATTTTCAAAGCAGTACCTTAAATATGAGCATTTATATAAATGAACACAGTGTAGAAATGTGTTTGCAATTTTATGGATTTAGGTTTCATGGAATACTCAAATTTGAATAGTAATTTTAATTGTGAAGATTTTTTTTAGGGAAAAGGTATTTCTTTGAACTGTAGAGAATAATTCTTTTTTTTTTTTTTTTTTTTTGGTACTGGGGATCAAACTCGGGACCTTGCGCTTGCGAGGCAGGCTGCAAGAATAATTCTTTTTAATTGTCTTTTTTCTTCCTAATATGGCTTGGCTAAGAGAATTATCCAGTTCAAGGAAATTTTATCTTTGTCTTAGCTTCATAGAAAGTTTAACTATTTCTAGATCTTGTTTCATAATGTAAAAGAAACTTAGTTTTTTTCTCTCTTAACCAAGTAGGGCAAGCTGTGATAATGTGAAGAATGTACAGAAGTCGTTATTGTTAATTCATTTAGTGCAAAAGCAGGTCCTGCACTAAATTGGGGCATTAATAAAATGTTTTATTGTATTGGTTCTGTTAATTTTATGTCCTGTATCTTTTAGGTTTTTTGTTTTGTTTTATTTTGGTAGAAGGTTGCTAGTATTAATGGTTAAAAATGTTCAATATCTAAAGTAAAATTTTATATAGTTAACCAAAATCCTACATCAGAATGTGTGAGAGGCATAGAGAATTAGAGAGGTAACCAATAACATTTTAAATTTCTTCTATACTTCAGTGAACTTTGAAATCTTCATCTATTTATTACTTATTTAGAGACAGGGTCTGACTGTGTAGCCCAAGCTGGCCTCAAACTCATGGCAGTCCTAGCTCAGCCTCCTAAATGCTGGGATTGTAAGCATACACTACCACACCCAGCTCTGCATTTTATTTAATAAGGCAGATGTTAAACTAATAGAGTTTTATATTTCTTTTTATGTTGCCACCTGGCCCAATAACGACATGTAAGGGAAAATGAAGGAATTTGACAATAGACAATGACTTTTATTTTTTGGTACCAGGGATTGAACTCTGGACCTTGCACTTTCAAGGCAGGCACTAGAACCACTGAGCTAAATCCCCGGCCCTAGACACTGACTCTTAATGTGGAGTTTCTTCATGGAACAATTAACATGAACCCTAGTTTGGATAAGTTTACCAGTTTTTTAAGAAATGGCCAGGTGTGAAACTGAGGCAGGAAAGCCACGAGTTCGAGGCCTGCTCTACATAGCAAGACCCTGTCTCAAAAAAAAAAAGTATTCTGTAACTATACATTATTATCCATAAATGATTTTTCTTCCATTGAATTCTTTTAAAAATATGAGTACAGCTTTGCATTTTGTGGAGAAGTTCAGGTGTACAGAGTCTTCAAAAGATGTAATAGCTGTGCATAGCAGTGCTCTTTATTTATTTTGTTTTTTTTGAAACAGGGTCTGGCTATGTAGTTCAGGCTGGCCTTGAACTCATTATGTAGCCCAGGCTGGCTGCATGGTGATCTTCCTGTGCCTCAGCCCAGTGTTGGGATTACAGGTTTGCACCACCACATCCCGCTTAGCAGCACTATTGTAAAAAGCTTTGTAAATATAACCCTGCATTGCCCATATAAAATATTTATGATTTTATTATCTGCTATTGTATATTTTAGCAATAAATTGAATAAAATTGATAGTGCTAATTTGTTCATTATTCTTGAACAATGAATTTCTATTTCCTGTCTCAGCAGGGCGGAGAGATTAAAGAATTTGTCTTCAAGTGGCAGATTCTAGATAAGAGACACAAGAGATAATCATTGGCTATAACAAAGTGTGATAAATACTGGAGGATAAGCACAGAGTAGTACCACAGAAAGAAGGATTTAAACAATCTCAGTGTGGCCATGAGGGAGAGAACAAGTAGAAAAGTTGTGAGAAAAGGCTTCTTAAAAGGGTAACATTTAGGGCCAGGGATTTAGCTCAGTGGTTCTGCTGCCTGCCTTGCAAGTGCAAGGTCCCGAGTTCAGTCCCCTTTACCAAAAAAAAAAAAAAAAGTAACATTTAAGTTGAGCCTTGAGTTTAGAGAAATTAAGAAAGGCAAAAGGTGGCAGAGTACATGAAAATCCTCTAGAGCTGACCATAGTGTGTATATTGTGACATAAGGATATGTGGGTTTGGAAGAAATTATAAATTGTTGAAATGGCTAGATATCTGGAGGGTTTTAGGTTTAGGATGAGAGAGGTAAGCAGAGCATGGGGCCTTTATATCATGTTAATGAGTTTAGATTTTATTGTGAGGACAAAGGAGAATTATTGAGTAACAATTAGAGTGATATGATTTGATCTATACTTCAGTATAAAGCTGTCTGAAAAGTGTGAGGAGGTAGAATTGACAGAACTCTGCTTTGACCTTCCAACTTCAGTCCAATACCGACAATCATCAACAGAGAAATTGAAGACAACTTATATTTCTGGCATAGGAAACCAGGGTGAGAGAGGAACCACATACTCTTTGCAGTGCTGAAAGTCAGAGTATATCAAAGATATACCCAGTGAAGCCACAAATAATTACTCGCAACAAAAGTTTTACAAATACACATTGCTTGTTCAAAATTTTGTAGAGTTACTAGTTTGGACAAAATGAAATATTAATAAACCAGGCTACAAACATTATCTCTTACTTTGATGAATTCATATATCCAGCAAATTATACTAATATCTAAATCTGGTTACAATGGGTCCTCAGAAAGCTTTGATGAGTTGAATGAATAATAATAGAGAATCTAACGCATAATACTTTTTAACTCTTTTAAAGTGTTTTAACATCATTATTCTCAGTTATTTTCTATATAGTAAACTGCAGGCCTTATAGCTTTTTTGTTGTTGTTTTGTTTTTTGTTTTTTGAGACAGGCTCTCGCCTCATAACCCAGGCTGGCCTCAAACTGGCAACCACCCTCCTGCCTCAGTCTCCCGAGTGCTGGGATTACAGGTGTACTCTACCACGCCCAGCTCACTTGTAGCTTTTCAAAGTAAATTTGAATTCATTACTCAAAATTTAAAATGAGGAATTTTACATGAATGTTTGAGTACCTTCATTTTCTTGAAAAAGAAGATCTGGCAGGGTTAGGTCCATTTTATTTATTTGTTTATTACTTTTTTTTTTTAGGTCCATTATTTCTACTGACTTAAAATTGGCTGGATTGGGTTATGATTTTTCACATTTTACTTGCGTAAGTTATTTCAGTTACCTGGTGGGCCTCTTACAGGCATTTGAGTTAGTGACTCTTGTTAATCTTCTTTATTGAGGTCTTTGAAAAAAGTGGTATAGGAATAAATTGAGAAAATGGATACTAATTTTTTAATATTAATGCTGTCAGTTAAGTGCTTGCTAGTAGTTATTTCATTACCTTATAGCGTTGCTATTTCTGCTTTATAATTGAGAAAACTAATCGTTAGTAAGTTACAAGTTAGTAAGCAACAGAACTGGGGCTCATAGCTTCTAGATCTAGTATTCCCTTGTATACTGGCTTTTCTAGAATTTCTTGTTGAGCTATTTAGGCCAATGCAATTTTTAATGATTTTTAATTTGTTGAATTATGTAGTAATCCATTTTAGAGGCACTATTTTTAGTGGTTTGAAAATGTTATAAATAAAATTTGGGTTAGCATTTTAGATGAATACGCATTTATGTATATAGCATAGAATATAACAACATTCTCTATTACTGAGATTTTATTTACTTGCTGACTTTCGGCAAAACTAAGCATCTTAGATATCTTTCATCATTGCTGGAAGTTATTTTCAAGTATTAAAAGTTCATTCAGGAAACATGTTTGTCAAAGGTAAAATTCTTTTTAGGGATAATGATATTAAATATAAATGAAGGTGGTTCTTAAGAAGATGGTTCTTTGTTTTTCCTAGAGATTAAATGATTTTCTCAATAATAGGATTATGGAAGTTGAACTAATTTGATTATTCTTAAAGATTTTTAATCTTATAATATCTTCTGTACATGTGGATATGTTTAGATTACTGATTGAATACTCTGTTGTTTGGGGAGAAACTACATTCTAAGAAATGGAGTCAGATAACAACATTTTTTTTAAACTTAAATTTGAAATTCGTGATCCATTAGCATTCATAAAGGAAGAAAAGAATTGCTATGAATGCAGTTACACTGAGAATGGAATCTGATTCCTAATTATTGGCAACAATATATTTATGAATGGTGCATAATGTACAATATAATGACTATGACACAGATATTGGACACGTGGCAAAGATGCAGTTACTGAACGTGAGTTGCTTTAGTTGTCTTTTTACTTGTCCTCTACAACTAATTAGGACCTTTGAGGATGCTATGAAAATGGTTTATTAAAATGGAGAAAGGGATATGGAAAGGTTCTTTAAGTATTATCTTTTAAACTCTTATTTTAATCATTGGTAACTTGTAACTTGTTGTTTTATTTTCCTTCCTTAGAACCTGTCAGGTGAAGGTGTATTTTTGCTTTTTTAATTTGGTTAGAAGCAATTTATTTTTAAAGAAAACATGTCTCCTCTGAAGATACATGGACCTATCAGAATTCGAAGTATGCAGACTGGGATTACAAAGTGGAAAGAAGGATCCTTTGAAATTGTGGAAAAAGAGAATAAAGTCAGCTTAGTAGTTCATTACAATACTGGAGGAATTCCAAGGACATTTCAGGTATTAACCTAATTTTGATTTGGAATGGTTTTTTAATAGATCTTTTAGTAAATAGCTGTTGTGTACCATAGTAAGCATCAGAGTAGCTCTTCTTGTTCTTTTTTCCGGGACACTAGTACTTTTGTGTATATGTTTTATAAATTATTCAATAGTATTGTTGGCTCTGGATAATAAAGAGTGGGAAGTAGTCACTGTTATTGAAAAGAAATTAATGGGAAGGAACTTAGAAGAGTTTTTTTGTGTGTTTTTTTTGTACCAGGGATCAAACTCAGCTCCTTGCGCTTGCGAGGCAGGTGGCCGAACCACTGAGGTGAATCCCTGGCCCAAGAAGAGTTTTAATACTGTACATCTAAACTATTTTAAAAACTACATTGGAACTCCCTTTGTTATACCTTTTTTTTTTTCATTAACATAGATGATGGATTCATTTATCAGGATTTGGTATTAGGGTTTTTGTTTTTTGTTTTCCTGAAACAGGGTATTGCTATGCAGTCCAGTCTGGCCCTGAACTCACTTTGTAGCCCATGTTGGCCTCAAACTTGCAATCCTTCTGCCTCAGCCTCTCAAGTTCCCGAGTCCTGGGATTAGAGGCATGTACTACCATACTTGGGTTAGTGTTAGCTTTAGTTTTTTTTGTTTCTTCCTTGTTTTTTTGTGTGTTTGTTTTTGTTGTGTTTTTTTGAGACAGGGTCTCACTATGTAGCCCAGGCTGGCCTCAAACACACAGCTTGGCTAGTGTTAGTTTTTAAGAGGATTTATTAATGCCTTCTAAAAGCCAGTTTCTACTTCCTAATTAATCCTGCCACATGACATAGTATGGAGCATTCAAGGATGATTGTTCAAGGTCATCTTAACTATTTTCTTATAGGGCCGGGCATTTAGCTCAGTGGTTTCGCTGCGTGCTGCACAAGCAAGAACCCGAGTTCGATCCCGGTGCCAAAAAAAAACAACACAAAAAAAACTATTTTCTTATAACTAAGAATTCTCATTTTATTGGTATGCAAAAGTTACTGTTTTTCACTTCCGTATTAACTTCTTTTATGTAGCCAAGAGTTAACTCATCTTAATTGAATAACATGTCTTACATTTTTTGTACTTTATTCTATATTGATTAATTAGATTATACAAAAGTATATTGATTAGCCAGGGATTTAGCTCAGTGGTTCTGGTGGCTGCCTTGAAAGCACAAGGTCCCAAGTTCGATCCCTGCCTCACAAGCACAAGGTCCCAAGTTCGATCCCTGGTACCAAAAAAAAAAAATGTATATTGACTAGATTATACAAAAATGTATTTGTTCTAAAGGGAAATATTCTGTTGAAGAACAGTGTATTAGAACCTGTACTGAAGTAGAATTTCCTTTTGTCTCTACTATTGAACTGTGAAAATAAATTGCTTGTGGTATTATATGTTAAAGATATTCTTAAATAAGTTGCAGGTAGTAATGGGTAATAAAAGCAGTAGTAGCTTGTCATGTACTACACGCTAATGCAAATTGCCCACCTCAACAAAAGGAACCAGTCATAGTGGTGTACAACTATAGTACTCAGGAGACTGAGGTAGGAGGACCATGAGTTTGAGGCCAGCCTGGACTGCCTAGTGAGATCCTATCTCAAAATCAAAAACAAAAACAAAAAACCCCCCACAAAACCAAAACCTCAAAGGCTTTTTTCCAAATAGAGATTCTTTTCTTCTTTTTATTTAGTCTTCATCCCAGGTTGGCAATGAGTATTCAAATATTTAAGCAAACATAGATCATTAGGAGTGTGATGATTAATTATATTTGCAATTCCAGCCTCTTCTCAGTTCTAGATCAGTTTACATTCAACATTCATGTGTTAACCGCCTACAGGTTACAATTGTGGATTCTGTGCTAAGGCCTAAGAATACGGAGCTTAATGAGACACCATTCCCCTCAAAGTTAAATAGTAACCAAATGCATTTTCAGCTGTAAAAAATATTTCAAAGATACTGAGGTAACACAAAAAAGTGAGTGGTTTGTACCCTGAGGACTTAGAGGATAAATAGAAGTTTGCCATAGTGAAGGTAAAACATAAGTGATTTCTATATGTAGACAAACACATGTGAGTGTGGATAAATTCTTAGGAAACCACAAAGTTATTTTAAAATAAATGGGTAGTGCTGAACATGGTGGCACACACCTATAAATCCCAGCACTCAGGAGGCTGAGACAGGAGGATCACTGTGAGTTTGAGACCAGCCTGAGCTACAGGGTGAGTTCAGGGCCAGCCTAAAGTACATAGTGAGATCCTGTGTCTAAAATACAATACAGTATAAAGTAAATGGGTAGTTGGGAGTTAGTGACAGAAGTAGAGTCTGAAGAGCTTTGATGCCTTTTGCTGGTCATGAGTGCTGAAGTTCTAAGGAGCCAAGGGTCTCAAATTCCTATTCCTTGGAGGCTATGCATGATAATGAGAGATTAGGAAAGATATGCAGGAGGTTGTGGTAGGAGGTTAGATGAGGGATGAAAGTCCTAAACAAAAGGAAAATATTGGAAGAAGCAAGAGAAAGTTAAGAAGACCTAAGAGCTGCGGGAGATTTCCATTTCTGAGAATTTGTGTGCATTTGGTGAGAGGGAGCGGAGGGAACCATCAGGGTGTGAAGATTGAGAGAGAGGAGTTGTCTGAGGTGTCAGACCTTTAGAAGGTAAACAGGCCTGGAGTTCTAAGAGAGGTCTGGACTTCCGAAAGACGGGAGTCCTTATTTCCATGAGTAGTTACTAGAATTGGGAGGCTAGATGGGATTTTAAGTTGTTGAAGTGACCAAGTTCAGGTTTGTTCTCATCTTATTTGTTAATGAATAAACTTTCCTATTTACATTTGGCTAATTTTTTAAAATCATAAATTGACTGAAATAATGGCTTTATGTTACCTATTTTTGTATTTTACTAGAGAATTTCTACTGAAGGGCATGGATTTAAGACCTACTTTGAAGCTAAAAATAAATATATCCTTCAAATTTGAATGTAAATTAGTATAATTGTATTTCATTCTTACCTAAAAATTGACAATTTTCCCTAATTAAAATTATGAGACATGTTATTCTTATTGCTGTTTAAAGGATATGTCTTCAGCAAAAGAGAGTTGTAGAAACCTTTGGAAATGCCTGCTGAGGGAGAATATTAGAGAATAGGTCGACCTATCTGGTAGGAATTATTTAGGTAATGAAGAAATTTTTAAGATAATTCATTTAGGGCTGGGGATTTAGCTCAGTGGTTCCAGCGCTTGCCTTGCAAGCGCAAGGTCCCGAGTTCAATCGCTGGGACAAAAAAAAAAAAATTCATTTAACCTTTGGGAAAAATTTCATTCAAGAGAAAATAAAAGTATTTATAGCACATTTTCGAAGGCTAGGAGAGTCCAAGATAAACCAGCTTTGGGGATTGATACCAGTAAGCTAAGAAAATTCTAGGGTGCTTTATATATATTTTTGTGATTGAAGGGAAGTAAAGTGAGTCTTCTTAAACAATTAAAAACAAAAGGTATTTTCTTAGTATTGGAAAAGCTTTGTTTTTGACATATGTTTTGAGAGTTTGGAATTCTTTTGAGGTTCATAATTTGAATTTATATTCCTTTTGTATTGCAGCTGCCTAAACAATTTGCCAATTACCTTAAGAATTTAAGGAAAAAACCCAGTAATTTAATTTGATTTTCTATACTGGATATAGTATAATCATCCTGGCTCTGAAAAATGTTGACTCACTTTTTTATCCTTTAACTTTAGAACTGTATCTGAAAATATAGAGTTCTCTGCCTATAAGATCAAGAGAGCTAGTATTATTCTATAAAATGAATTTTAGTAGTATGTCTTTGTTTCTTCTGAAAATTAAGTCTTTGAGTTAATTGTATCAAGAAATGGGAACTCCTTTAGTTGAAGATAGATTGAATTACTATAAGGAAGTATGAGAATTGTAACTTAGTATGAAGTTTAGTATTGATTATACAAATTAATTATACTTTATTATACCTTTTTGATGATGAGATAATTTTCCTTTTTATTTTTATCAGCTAAGTCATAACATTAAAAATGTGGTGCTTCGACCCAGTGGAGCAAAGCAGAGCCGCCTAATGTTAACTCTACAAGATAATAGTTTTTTGTCTATTGACAAAGTACCAAGTAAGGATGCAGAAGAAATGAAGTTGTTTCTAGATGCAGTCCATCAAAACAGACTTCATACAGGTGAGCACTTATCATGCCAGGGTCTGATATTAGCAGTTTTAAAAGACTATGACTATAGTACAGACCAATAATCTTAATAATAATGCAAAAATCCTCAGCAAAATACTAGACCTGATTTCAGTAGCACAGTAAGAGTTGCACACCACAACCAAGAAGGATCTATTCCTGGAATGCAAGGATGATTCAGGTATGAGTCAGTCTGTTTTATACAGTCATTAATAGAATGAAGGACAAAAGCTGCATGATATATCAGTTGATACAGGAAAAACGTTTGACAAAATTTACCACCCTTAATGATGAAAACTTTCAACAAATTCAGAGAAGCAGGAAACCACTTCAGTGTAATAAAGGTCACATGTGAAAAGCCCACACAGATAATGTGCGAGAAAGCAAAGTTTTTCCTTGAAGATCAGTAGCAAGATAAGGATGCCTACTTTTGCCACTTCTGTATAGCACTGAAAGTCTTAGCCAGACATACTTTTTATATTTAGTTGACATCTATATTTGGCATATCATTCTCCTTATAAAATAAAAACTTTTGGGCCGGGGATTTAGCTCAGTGGTTCTGGCACCTGCCTCACAAGTGCAAGGTCCCAAGTTCAATCCCTGGTACCAAAAAAAAAAAAATAAAACTTTTTGTGGTTGTTTGCCATGAAGAACCTACTCATATGTTTATGCCATCAAATCTGGACTGTCAGTTTACTAAACAATTAAATTTTGGAATCAAGAAATTGAGTACAGTGCTACTTAAAATTTTCACAATATTTTAGGAACTATGTATATTTCTGTTTTTGTCTTACTCTGCGATACCCATCATATTAATTGCATCACTGTGTTAAGAATTGGTGTAAGAAAAAGCATGTCTTTAAATGCATTAGAGCAGGATGGCACAGTAGACTGGGAAGCCAAGCTTGAACAACATGCTATAATGGAAAACTGTGTTTTAGCGCAGAACAAACTTGAGTTTTATCCTAGCTCTGCTTGTTATTTCCTGTGTCATTTTGGGCCAGTCATTTAACAGCTGAATTTCAATTTCCTGGTCTCTAAAATGAAAGTCATACCACCTTAACTTCAAAGTTTTTTGTTTTTTGTTTTTTGTGTTTTTTTTGGTACCGGGGATTGAGCTCTGGACCTTGCGTTTGCGAGGCAAGCAGCAGAACCACTGAGCTAAATCCCCGGCCCCTACTTCAAAGTTTTTTAAAGAATGTAAAGCCTGACTGGAACATGATAGGTACTCAACAAGTCATTGCTATTATCAGAGTAGGTAGCTGTGCGCTTAACACTAACTCATTCTTTGATCTTGGGCAAGTCATTTTAATCTTTATGTTTAGTTGTATAGCTGCCCAAAGGTGAACATACTTTGCAGGAACTGGAGTAAGATGAGGAATATAAAAATACTTTGAATAATATAAGCCATTTAATATTTAAGTGTGGTATTCAAATGAGTGGTAAAAAAGACTAACTTTTGATTAAGTGTTCTTTGTAAATAAAACAGTTAGCTAACTATTTAAGAAGATACTGAAGCTGGATCTTTTTCTCTGTCTTTTCATCAAGATAATTTCACCTCAAAGATTTGAATGTAAAAAAGTGATAATATTAAAAAGGGAGTGCAAGGGCCAGGGATTTAGCTCAGTAGTCCTGCCGCCTGTCTCCTAAGCACAAGGTCCTGAGTGCGATCTCTGGTACCAAAAAAAAAAGGAGTGGATTCCAACATAATAGTGGGATGGAAAAGACCTTTTGGAGTATACATAAACCTGAAATCAGGTCTGGGCTACAGCGCTTACCTAGAATGTATGAGGCCCTGGATTCCATCCCCTGCACCACTTAGAAATAAACAGACCTAGAATCAGTAGAAGATAGATAACTTATACTGTAAAAAATTTAAGTGATAAAGGGGGGAAAAAAGACAAAGGAAGAAAATATTAGCCAGTGATATCACAGTTATATATAAATATTATTGATATGCAAAGATATTTTACAAATTGATAAAAAAAAGACAGCCTAATAAGGAAATGGACAAAAACTGCAAATAAAAAATTTTAGGAAGAAAAGTAGCCTTTAATCATGAAAAAATTCTTAACTTCAATAATTCTTACTGTCACATTGGTAGTAATGAGAGGGGAAACATAATAATATTTGTATATTTGATAGGTTTATCAAATATTTTTGATAAATTTTTTGGAGGAAAAATTTGACACTGTTTGGCAGTGGCAGTTTAATTTAAAATTATATGTCCATTAACCCAGAAATTTTTATTCTAAGGAATTTGCTCTCCAAAAATCATGCAATTAGTACAAGAAGATAATGTGAAAGGATGTTAAGCATTGTTTACAGTTTTGAAAAACTAGAACATCCCAAATGATCATCAGTGGAAAATTTTCAAACTAAATTAAAATACTTTTTAAACAATGTACAAATTCATATTTACATAGGCATGAATTTCTTTGAAATAGAAGCCATTTATTTGCTTAATAAAAACTTAAAAATCTTAAATTTGTTTAATGATTTTCTATCTTTGTTCATACTTTTTTCTTCTATTATCTTTATCCAGTTTTAGGATTAGCACAATGTTGA